TATATATATATATATATATATGTGTGTGTGTGTGTGTGCTCCGTCTCGTGTTTTCTTTGGGCCCTGCGCTGTGCTTTGTGTCAACACTGACGTTCTTCACCCTCCACCCTCCCCTTTTACTCCTTCAAGTTTCTTCCTTTACACACACAGACAGAGGAACAGGAGGAGGGAGAGCAACGAAAAAGGAAAAAAAAAGAAAAATACACATATTACAATAAACCCAAACACCATCACCAGTTCGTCTACTGCTGTGTTTGCTTCTGGTTTGACTACTGCTGCTGCTGCTGCGGTTGTTGTTGTTGTTGTCATTGTGCCTTGTGTTTGTGGATCTCTCTCTGTGCGTGTGTGTGTCTGTATCTTCTCTGTGTGCCACGCATGTTTGCTGCTGCAAACGGTTCCAACCACGCGATAGAGCGCCTCTACTCATCACTCTCCTCTGCGAAACACTGATTCGAATAACACATAGGAAGGAACACAACAGGAAGGGATACATAGAGTCCCAGGGGGGAGGATTCACACGCACCCTTTCTTGCTCAAGNAATAACACATAGGAAGGAACACAACAGGAAGGGATACATAGAGTCCCAGGGGGGAGGATTCACACGCACCCTTTCTTGCTCAAGTGAAAAGGTAACGGAGGCCAACTCTGTTTCTCCACGTAAACTGATTCCTTCGGGCATAACGCACACTCGCAGATTGACTGACTGACTGACTGATTGATTGACTGTTGCACAGCGGGGCAAGGAAACATTATGAAGGATGACTGCAGGGCACCCCGTGCCCCGCAGGTCAATGTCCCAGCCACCACCGCCACCACCATGACTGGCAGGGGCAGCAGCAACAAAATGAGAGAGACATGCACCAGGCAGAGGGTGATGCGTGGCCCATCCCACATGCTGGTTCCAGTAGCTAGTCCCCACTTCTCCCTCGCAGCGGCTGCAGGCGCCTCAGCGGCGGCAGCACGGAAGAACACTGTTCCTAAGCCGCGGGTGCGGTACGTGCGTCCCAAAGAACCGGAGAAGCGTGAACAACTCTACGCATACTACGCAGCAAAGGGTCTCCTCGCGGGAGATGGGGATGACGTCGCCAAGGGCACACAACCTTCTGCATCTCCCGTTTCTTCTGATACCAATAAAGACGTCTCTGGTGGCGGTGAAGGCGCGGGTATTGCCACTCTGACTGTTGTGGACATCGATGAAAATGCCAAGAAGGGAATTTGTGGCTGCCCTGCTGATTCTGCAGATGAATCAAGCCCTGCCGAGGAAGGGCTGAGAGAGGCGATACGTGCGCAGATGCGTCCGTGTAGTACTTCGCCATCGCGCCCCGACACGGCGAAGACAGAGAAGCGAATGCTTGAAGAGCTGCAACACCTCGTATGCAACTACGAGAAACAATACAACCGTAAATCTGGTGACTGGTCCCCACGGACCTTTACAGTACCGTCCTTGGCACCGCTCGTCCGAAACCCCTATGACGACGATGACGACGACAGTAATGAAGCTGCTGTCGGGCGTCAGGAAGAGGCATCCGACGCCACTGTGGAGGAGAGCAGCAACAGAACAGTGTCGCCGCTGCCACTGTTCAGGAGTCAGAACAGTAGGCGTAACGTGGATAAGATTGGGGGCTACTCAGGAAGCAGCTTTAGCAACAGCAGGGCGTCAACGCCGCTGCCGCTGCCGTCGCGTACGGCCGACGACGCCGACCCAGAGCTGGCGCTCACGCTATCGACGCTGCGGGTAAACCCGCTCCTGGGCGAGGCAGATAGCTCCTTGGAGGACGTGCTTGCACTACCGCATGTATTCCGCAGTGGCCTCGTGCGCGGCCGTGGCAGCACCCCGCACGGCACCCTTGCCACGGAGCAGGAGCGACGCTCGCAGTCTGTGCGACATCACGTCCTGCAGGCCCTGATGAGCCTCCCCGCCGCCGCGCCGACGCGGCACGACCAAGCTCATCATCTCACTGCTATTAGCGGCTTTCGCGGCCACCCCTTCAAGGCATTCACCGGCGTATGCGAGACGCTGCTCGACGTACCGGTCGAAGCAATGCCACAGAGTCACTTGACGCGACTCCTCGACTGTCTTGCGGAAGACCCGGCGCTGCAGCGCTGCGCGGAGGCCGCTGCGCGGCTGGTGACGTACGTCCTCATGCACTCGCTCCCGGCGGAGCTCTACGAGGGTGACCCGGAGGATTACCGCAAGCTGCGTGCACGCAACCGGTGTGCTGCGGACACCGGGTCCTCGCCAATGGAGGCATCGAGCGCCCAAACGGGGCGCGCGCGGACATACTCACCGAGGCCGCAGTCACCGCCGCCCCAAATGCTATCGTCACACTCAGAGCGCCGTAATGATAAAATGTTGGGGTCGCACCGAAGAAGAAGCGGGTCATCACACGAGCCCGCATCTGGCGCCACGGACCGGTACTTTCTCCACACAGATTCTATGTCGCTCACACAGGCTCTGCAGAGTGTGGCTCTGCGAAAGGGTTTCTGGCTTTCTTCCACAGTGCCGATGATGGTGCGTCCACCGCTCCACGCCTGCGGGCTGCCGCTGCGCACAGCGCGCGAAATTGCTCTCTGGCAGCGTCCGCCTGGTGCCGCTGATGCGGAGGTGGCGGTGCTCAACGACGATAACGACGACGGCGGCGACGGCGGCGGTGGCGGCGGCGGCAGCAGCGGCGGCACTATGAATGTGACTGACGTCAATGTAAACATCGCAGCTGCCTATACGAAACCCACGCCTGGGAGCGCATCAGAAAAGCTGAAGCTCTTGTCACAGGAGGAGGCCGATGACTGGCGCCCCAAGACGCTCGCACCGCTTCTCATCATTGCTTACGGTGGCTACGGTGTCGCGCCTTTTAGTACTAGAGAGCCGTCTTCTCAGTCGGCAGCGGAGGGGGATAAGAGCTTTGCTGCTGCACTTGGTCGGGATGCCTTTGCGGAGGAAAATGATACGATCCTTTCCGCCATGAACAATTTTATGCATCCAGAGCCCGCGCTGCTGCCGCTACACTCCGTCATGCAGGCCATTTACCGCAGTGTGCGCCAGAATCGGCTAATGTGCGTGGATGAGACAACCGCCGACATCCCACCCGCTTTCCTTGAGCTACTAATGGATGTTGTGAAGAGTTACGAATCTTTCTTTCAGTCTGTTCTGAGCATGTCGTTCGAACCGGCGTCTGCACGCTCGTTTTTCGTGCACACGTACCGTGAGACCCTCTTGAGTTGGGCGGCTATCGCGATCTGTGAGGGTGCTATTGGACACGCGACAGAGCGTGCCGGTCATGGGCCCGCCAACGTGCGGTGGTCGGGTGACGCCGAGCCTGAGAAATTCACAGAGGAGCAGCTTGAGGAGATTGCACTCTCCGGTCTCGTCGAGAAGACGTTTCCGAATATGTCGCAGTGGGGCTACGATGAACAGCTCTTCCTCCGCACCATTGAAACACTCCGCTCCGTGGTGCTTGAGACCATTGGCCGCGTGAAGGGTGAGCTGTACTACCTTATCACAGGCGTTGATAAGCGCGGAGCAGTGCTCGAGCAGTACCGCGAGCGACTCCGGCAAGGACGAGCGCTGCGAGCAGAAATGCGGGCAAGGGCGGAAGAGCAGCTACAGGCACGACTGCCAGGCGGTGGCGGAGGAAGTAGTCAGGGACCGGCGCCGAGCGCCTCAGAAATGCTGAACCAGAACCATAGGGCTGCCACGCAGACGCTACCCGTTGTGCAGCAACTTAGTACAACAATGCGATCGACAACCACGGGCCGCCGCCGGCGCCGGCGGCGGCCCAACACTGCTTCGGACACCTTTAATGGCGCTGCGACGTATTCGACATTTGAACACACACATCTGGCACCCGCACTTCGGCCGTGGCAGCCAAGCTACAGCTATCATGCGGCACACCGCTACCTACAGGACGGGGCTTCGCACCAGGAGTACCTGTCGTCGGACTATCGACCGGCGTCGGCACTCGTACAGGAAAGGGTGGAGATTATCTCTACAGAAGTCTCCCCGTTAGTGTCGCACTCGTATTCTTCGATGCAACGAAGACGTAGTGAGGCTTCCTGTACGGCGTCTGCGGTCGCCTCCGCCCCTGCGCATGCCGGAGCCAATAATGAGCACCTGCCGCGGCGGTCGTCGTCTGCGTTCGCACGACGCTCGACGTGCTCACCAGAGCGACGATCGGTTCGCCGACCGGTTGTTTCCGACGTCCCCGAGTATCTTACCGTGCGGTCCGTACGGCGAGAGCTCGTGGCGCTGAAATTTCGAGCCCGTCTACAACCATCAACTGCGGTGACGCCAGAGGCAAACACTTCCATCCAGGCTCCAATGCCGGGTATGGCACCAACAGTGACAGCGCAGGGCAACGCCGGGACGCCTGCCGACATGAGTGCCATGGTGAATCGCTTGTCGCCCACGCCATCACCAGGGCCAGCTGCGCCTATAATCGACACCCCAACACAAAAAGCTTCACTGAATGATCAGGAGGACGTGACACTGGCTGCTATTGTCGGCTGTAAGCAGGCAGCCGCAGTGGCGCGACTGCGCAAGGCTTGTGAGAATACCGCGCAGTTCCACCTCCACTGTTGTGACCCCGAAAGCAGCGGTGGAGGTGGCAAACACACTGGCGTGGTCGAGACACACTGGTACGCGGCGGGAAGTCTTGGATTCTACGAGCGCCGTACCGTCGCCTGCATCAAACGCACGCGCCAAGTTGCTGCGTTTGACTTGCACCACCTTTCCCCCATCACGGCGCTGAGGATGTGTATGCGACGACCGGGCATCAGCGACCATGGCAANGCTGCGTTTGACTTGCACCACCTTTCCCCCATCACGGCGCTGAGGATGTGTATGCGACGACCGGGCATCAGCGACCATGGCAAAGGCGGTGTTAGGGAAGATCAAAAACGTCTTGTTCATCCGCAAGAGCAGCAGCAACAACAACATCAACCGCAAAAGCGTGAAGCGCTGAAGCCGAAGGAGCTACACTTGGGCGAGGCCATGATGCCATGGACGCTATAGGGCACTTACTCTTCCTTCACTGTTCTGGCTGCTGCGTATGCAGAGAGAAAGAGAGAGAGAAAGAGAGCGAAAGAGAGAGAGAGAGAAAGAGAGAGAGGGGGGGGGGG